TTTATTGTGGTTTACATAATCCCTTTTTAGAATTGTCGGTATAGGTCCACTTTTTGGTATGTTTTAGATCGTAAGGTTCGATAATGAACTATATCCGCATTTAGACCTAGCCCCTGTGTGGAGGTTCCAGAGGTAGTGGACTGATATTAACCATCTTCAAATTTGAACTAAGTTTGGAAGAAATAATTAGATGAGCAAAGTTTGGATGAAATCTAAATTTTCGGAAACGGATTTGGTCCAAAGAAACATGAGTCTAGAACCAATATTTCGATGAGGCACATTTTCACCATGTTAAAGTGTATACACCCTCATTAGCTATTAGGCTGAGGGTACAATTATCCATTAAAAAATTCTGAAATGTGTATTATGGTTAACCTTATGGTTTACATAATCCGTTTTTAGAAATGTCGGTATAGGTCCACTTTTTGGTATGTTCCCTATATTTTCATTTATAGTACCTGTCAGTATATCTATGGTGGAGGGTATCCAATGTTCGGCCCGGCCGAACTTAACGCTTTTTCACTTGTTTTATATTAAAGTCGCTGTTGGGAATGAGATTATATGCCCTTAAAAGTACGCAAATGGGACGAAAATTGATAATTGTCTTTATATTTGTACGCAATGTGAAATTACAGTTATTTACCTTAACCAAATTTGGACATTATTAGTATTTATATTTTAGTAGGTAGATTTCAAACACCACCAAAACAAAAAAAAAAAAGAAAAAATTGAGTCAATTCGGTTGCGTGTCCGACGTCCCCAAAATGTCGAATAATGGAGAGGGTATCGCTCTCTGGGGGCTACCCCTAAATATGGACCCATATTAATAATTTTTGATAAGGAGATTTTTTACTCAACAAAATTTAAACAATCAAATTAAAACCAATTCTATTGATGAGGGTTACCCTTAAAAGTGGACCAATATTAATAAGTTCTAGTAAGAAGTTTATATATATATATATATCCAGGTAGAACACAATATACAAATATACAGCAATTTAAGTTGAAAAATGTGCCTAAAAGATTAAAAAACAAATATTGGGGGATGGTGTACCCTAAAACGACCGATATATGTATTCCATTTCCAATATCAAATCTCATAGGAGTATTACCAACGTATGTGCACAATTCCAAAGCTCTGTCTTCAATATTGCGACCTCAATCGGACGGACATGGCTAAACCGACAACGAATTGTCGTTAAGAATAAATGGGGTTTCTGATTAATATTTCATTGTTAAATATTAACAATTTTGTTCTAGAAATTTTTAGCACTTTTTTCTGGCACTTTTTTAAAATTTTTAGCACTTTCTAGCATTTTTTTCAACAAAATCTAGCATTTTTCCTCAACAAAGTTTTGGCAACACTGGTACTAACTGATACTAAATTTTATATAATTTGGATTTAGGTGAACCGATAGAGGTGGAATCTTGTGTTTTAGAATTAACATTGGGGTGTTTTGGAAACTCGTAGGTAGTTATGGAAATTTATATTAATGTGTATTAACTGATACTAAATTTGGATTTGAGAGAACCTGTACTTGAAATTTGGATTTTTTTTCGAAATAAGTAAAGTAGCTGGCATATGATAGTTTTTCTAATAATTATGCGCTGAGTATGCCTATTAATTTTCATCGTTTTCTGCTCGATTTAATAGATTGTAAGTTGTCTTTTGTCTAAGTTGTCGTTTGTCTAACTTTCCCCAACTGGCGGCTGCAAAATAACAAATGAATTACATAATAAAATAACCTTTTGGCCTGGCATTTTTTAAACTCTATTTCAAGGTGCGCAACAGCACGCTTACAAATTTTTTTTTTCAAATGATTCCCAATATAGGCAAAAAGAGTAGAGTAGGCGTATCGACTACAAAATCCATTAGATTTGATACTCCAATTCATTGGCGTATACGTAATCGTATTCACAAATCCAGCGGATTATATTTGACGTAAAGGCTATGAAATTGGCATTTCAGATCGAGTGGATTTCGTAAATATAAATGCACTTTTATCTTCATATAGTGCATACCAATATAAACAAGCGCAAAAGCGTTAAGTTCGGCCGGGACGAACTTTGGATACCCTCCACCATAGATATACTGTCAGGTACTTGAAATGAAAATAAAGGGAACATACCAAAAAGTGGACCTATATCGACATTTCCACAAACCAGTTATGTAAACCACAATGTAAACTAAAAAACAAATTTCAGAAATTGTTAATGGACAATTGTACCCTCAGCTTTATGGATAATGAGGATATATACACTTTGACATGGTTAAAATGGTTCTAGACCCCATGTTTCTTTGGACCAAATTTGTTTCAGAAAATTTTGATTTCATCCAAACTTTGGCCATGTTATTATCTCTTCCAAACTTAATTCATCGGTCCGCACCTTCTGGTACCTGAAAATTAGAGGATACCGTTATATGGGGGTTACCAGAAAAAATGGACCTAAATGTATAATTTTTTGTGGAAAAATTATTACCCAATAGCAAAAATTTGGCGATCTATCTCAACTCGTTTAAACGCTAGAGTGATTACAACAAACGGACATGCTTAGATCGTCTTAGAATTTTACGCTGATCAAGAATATATATACTTTATAGGGTCGGAAATGATTATTTCAAAGAGTTACAAACGGAAAAAAATTAATATACCCTCCATACTATGGTGGAGGGTATAAAAAGCAAAACACAATTATGACAAATAACAAATAAATGTCAAACCGGTGAGAGGAGCAGTATAGTCAACGGGTACGACCATATAATAACCTACACAAATCTAACTTTCTGCTGTTCTATATTCTGAGTTTGACAATATTTCGCAATATTTACAACCTCTTGGTCGATTATAAGTCCACAGCTCCACTTTCTAACCCTGACATATTTTCCAAAGCATGTTTTCCCAAGGTAAATAATTACACCAACAAATTTTAGTCACCTTAGGTTTTTGTTGACTTGACCCAATGAATATTGAGCGATCATCATCTAAACACCCATTCTAAGTAGTAGGCCTAACCCACTTCGCCGTGTAAAATATGTGATGTTGTGCATGTAATAATGGCCTCTACAATACAAATTTTGTTATTTTTCTCACAAAAGTCAGGGCCCATTTGAACCTCTAATTATTGACCGATCTTCATCCGTCCACATTTGATCATGTTTAATAAGTACCCATGTTTAAACTGATTCTTGAATTTTAATTTGTCTCTATGAGCCATTAACATGAAATGAAACGAAATTTGAAAAACACACTGACATGTCTATATACCGGGTTATCCATTTTATGGTTTTGAAAGAATGGGTCTGAAATTCGACATCTGTCAAAATAAGTTATTAAACTATTATTTTCATGGGACTACGCGAAACCCCATGTTTAGCACCGCCCAATAGATGACAAAAAGTGGTCGAAAATTACCTCAAAATATTCACTGCTTACATTTCCCGTGGGTTTCATTTCAATGATGTAGTGTCTCACACATATCATGAAAAAAATAGTTTTATGTGTTTTATTTACGTATAAATTTGCAGGTTCGCGAACAGACATTATGGAAATTTGTATGAAATACAATTTTGAGCTCAGATTTTCTGTACCTCCAAGAATATCCTGTCAATCGATCGCTTTCGATGTTATTTTTATAGTTCCTTCCAGAACCTAAAAGAATCTACTAATTTTACTAATTTGAACTAATTGAATCAAATTTAAGAGAGTACAGAACACAATGGCGGTCTCTTTGTATACTTTTTACTCGAGAAATTTGGTAAACAGAAATTCCTACCTAATTATGGCATATTTACTATTAAAAAAGTAATATATTACCATATATATTTAAAAATGTTTACCACATTTTGAATCAAAATATTTCTTATATATTTCTATTATATATTTATGACTATGTTTATACACCGACCCCATTACCGGTCTATGTGTAATAACGACATTATAATTTAGTTAATAAAATGAACATGAGGAGCGACATCTTATGTTCATTGTCTAAACTACCGAACCGTATTATTGATTCACCTATATTTTAAAATTGAACTAATTTGATAGCAAAGACATAAATATAATAGGAAAGGGAATTTCATAGGCATAAAATGAGATGTAGATGGCAGGGTGGTATGACAAAAAATATTCATTTTGTGTGAAATAGTTTTTGTTCACATTCTGATCATAGATTAAAAATATGTAAGGTTTTATTGCTTAAAAAATTAACAGCTAATAGTATTAACAAATATAATAATTGTACATTTACATTGTACTGGATTTCGTCAACTCAGTGGGTTTAAATTTTCAATTCTGTTGCATAATAACTTTCAAATAAATTAGGTTAACCCGGTAAAATATTCTAATACATAATTTTTGAAAAGAAGTGAATATGTCGTTTAGTTCTTTCGGGCCAAGCAACATCATGTTCAAGGGTATACAAATCATGGTCTGGTCCAACTTAATTACGCTTTTACTTTTTTATAATAATTCGAAGGAAATTTCAATTAGTTATTCCAATAAAACAATACTTCCAGTTGACAACATTGCCTTATCAGCTGAAAACTGTATGTTAACAAATCAGTGTGAATGGAAAAATATTTAAAGAAGAAGCAGCGTGACACTTCTCAAATCAATAGCCGTCATAGTTAGTGCAAAAAAACTCAAAAAGGAAAAGTTTATTTGATTGTTTTTGAACAAATGTCGAGACTAATTCCATTTTAAAATAAAATATTTCGGAATATTTGTGTGCATCAAGCGGATAGCACTTCGAAAATAGTAACCACAGCATTGTTTTTGCTTCCCTCAAAGCAATTTAGGGGCTGTGCCAAGACCCTTTTTCATTGTCATAATTTTTTGTCAACATTGTGACACAGTGTCGACGACGACGACGTTGTTTTTGCAACTCCTTCACTGCACCTTGGAGGAGCCTTTGCGCAATTTCTACTCCAATCTTAATTACAATTCTACAGAAAGCCTAAAATATTGTTAGACGTTAAGTGATTGTCGGGGTAGTAATTTTATGTTAATATGAATGTTGATTCAACGTCTTTACCTTCGGAGTTGTTGGTGGCACCACAGCCTCTAATTGGATTGTGTGGTCTCGATATCAATCGCAATGCCGTACACAAAACCATATGGGATGCCTTTAGTAGTAATCGCAAAGCCGAAAGGTAAAGTGTAAAATAGAATTTCTTCATTGTCATGTTGCATTGTAACGCCTCTCTGTTGCAGGGCTTCGGTGCAATTTAAATTGTTGCCAAATAATTATGAATTTCCTGTGGCCAAACCAAAACGTAACTCCTATGAATGGTATCATCCAAAGGGTATACTAAAACGCAACTGGATGCTTAAACATTTACATGTGCTTCCATCTGTGGTGGTTTTGTTTCAAGACATAGAATGGAACGACAGCCAATGGACCGAGAAACAACTGCAATGTGTTGCTGCCCTACAGACCCTGAAGAATGCCTTACAGGAACGTAATACTCGCATATGTTTGGTGCTTTTACAAAAATCACCACCATTACCACCTGGCGAGGATATGTTGGCGTCGGAAAGAGCGGCCAGCTTGACTGCTGCATGTGGTATTAACAGTAAAATGTTATTTATTTTACCACATTCCGAGCATTTAATGGGTAAGTATGTTAGTGTGTGAAGGTTTTAAATTCTAAATTCCGTTAGCTTACGTTAACTAAAAAAGTACTGTAGTCAAGTTTATGACCAGGTAGCGGATCGTTTTGAATATGTTTACCACATATAGTCCTAAATTCAAAGATTACAACGACATAATTTATTTGCTTGCGAAAAGAGATACTTCCTGAGATATGGATCTTCAAAGTTACGCTGAAACCCCTGTATTTTCCCATGCCATTTTAAATTCACTAATGTAATATTGGTACCAATTTTGAGCGGTTGAAATCCTAATCACAAACTTCTAATTATTTTATTACTTCATGATTTTTTTTTTTTTTTTTTTGATTTGTGAGAAGTTCATACTTCTCTAAATATGGGCTTCCAAATTTCCGTTGGGATCCAAATTTCCCTTGGACGTTCTTCTAAGAAATCGTTAACGCTACAAAATTTCGTCTTAATTAAATAGTTTTTTTTTTTAATATTTAATATACGATTTTATTTAAATATTATTTATTTTATAACTAATTTGCATTGAACATAATTTATCTGTTATATATTTTTCCAGGTTATGTCTTACGATTAGAATCTGCCTTTGTGGATATGGCTCAGTCATACTACACACTTATGTCGAAACGTATACGAACACATAGAGATCAATTGACAGCAGCTCATACAACATTAAAGATACGTCATCAATTTAAATTGGGTTTTGTTGCTGAAATGCGTCAGGATTTTAGCACAGCTTTAAAGTAAATATTTTTATTAATATTTATAAGATTTTGTTTTCTAACAAATTCCTTTATTCTAGGCATTATACACAATCGTATACCACACTCGACGAAATACGCATCAATGATGGCAATAATTTGGAAATAAAAACCATTGCCGGTTTCTTAAATTACAAAATATGTCGTTTAATGTTTAAACTAAAAGTGCCACGTGATTCAATTAATCATTTCATAAGTCACATAGACAAATATAAAAATCGTGTTGGTTATAAGGATTTAATATTTGAACATTATGCTTGGTTAAGTACCCAGTAAGTTGTGTCAATGATAATAATTTAACTTTTTGAAATATTGAATGTTCTTCTATTATTTTCAGACATTTTGTTTTTGCTGAGTTATTTTGTGAAGCTATTAAAAATGGCCTGCCAGCATTACAAACACAACATCCGGGTATTTATTTTCATAAGGCTGCCGAATATACGCAAAAACGAAAGGAAGCCTTTCTGCAATGCACGGGTAATGTAATTTGTTAAAATGTAACCTTAAAACTATCTACACAAAAATGTTGTCCTTTATGGTAATCAATGTTAATATTATTTTATTTAATTGCCAGGCCCTTCAACCCCTACCGAGCCAACCAACAATTTTAATGGCCAAGGCAGCAGTAATATAACATCATTATATACCGAATATTTCGGTATACGATCGCTGAAATCTGGTGAACCCATAACAGAACAACAAATCAATTCGATGATTAAGGAAAATGAAAAACTTTTTAATCATTCGGTATAAAATTAATATATTTTGAAATTTATTTTTTACTATTTATTTTTTGTATGCCTTTTCATTTTAGAGTTCCATTATAAATCTTCTCAGTTTGGCAATGGCTCAATTTAAAATCTACAAATGTTTGAGATTTCGTAAAAAATTAGCCATTGATATGGCTGATGAGTACTTTAAAAGTGGTGATCATGGCAAAGCTTTAACGTAAGTATATACATATTTTTTAAGTGAAATTATTTCCTATATGAAGAAATCCGTCATTTTTTTTTTTTTTTTTTTTTTGGTAATTAAAGAAATTTTATAATCCAATATTTATAATGAAATGGAATAATTTACATAATAAATGAATGAATGGAATAATTTAGATAATAATTTGGGACAACTTAATTTCTTTAACAAATGATTAGTGAATCCCTTTTAGAAAACAATTTGAAACAAATTAATTTCTAAAGAAAATAATTTGGGAAAATGAGTTTCTTTTGAAAATTGTTTGAAATAAATTAATTTCTTTATAAAATAATTTGGGATAAAATATTTTTCTTCAGAAATTTTTGACAATTTAGGTTATTATTTTTTATTTATTTAATTTTTTAACAAAACTAAATTGCATTTCGGAAAATAATTTTTAAAAAATAATTGTGACTATTTTAAAATTCTAAATTTTTTCCCCTCATAATAATTTTCTTTTCTAAAACCTCATTCAAAAAATATTTCGATGTATTATAAAATTTGTTTTTAAACATTATTTCATTACAGATTGTATTCGTTAATGTTACCGGATTATCGGCAAGATAGATGGGGTTCTTTATTTTCGGATGTTCTACTTAAGACAATGAAATGTGCTCTGCTATCAGCTTCTATACGAGATTTCATTTCATGTAGCTTGGAAGCCTTGTCATTCAAAATTAAATATACTCCCAATGAAAGAGTAATGGTTTTGGAAAATCTATGGAAAGTTTTACAGGTATTAAAGTTAATTTCTAAGAAAATTTCAAAATTTTCCCTGATAAAAAAATACAATATTTATTTAAAGGGTGAACCACCAATACCACAAAATCAAAATGCGCCAGAAGTACGAGCACGTTGGGAAGATTCATTGAAAACTGTTAAAAGTCCATTACAAATTGATATGGATAAACTTACCGATCTTATGGAAATTTGCACTACATTTGAAAAGTTGGAATTAAAAAATGATGATGTCATCAAATTAAATATTATACTAAGGTATAAAATACTTTTTGTGATAGCTTTCATCAAATTGAAAAAAAAAAAATAAATTTGTTTACTTTTAGACTACAAACTGATGTTCCAATCAAAATACGCAATTTACAAGTGATAATAACCGATGGTAGCAACAACTATAAACTACAGCCAACACATATATCCAAATATTCAGATATTTTAGCTTTACGAAAACTCAATGACCCCGCCAACAATATCCAACAGCCGTATGAACAAAATCTAAAATTGGAGCCATCATTCTATCACAGTTTCTCATTTACCACGGAGGCTCAACAATTTTTGGAAAATACTCAATTACGTGTAGTGCGCATAGAAATACTTGTCGGCACAGATAACTTGTCTATGTTGCTGTATAAAAGTGCACCCTATATGAATAATGCCTTTCGTTACCACAATCGTAATCGTGATTTGGATGACAACATTATAATCAATCCAATTTGTTATATTACTCCCACGTAGGTCATCGGTTTTGTGTATAAAAAATTGAAATTACTTAATTTATAGGAAGTGTTTATTATTTATTTATACGTAGACAAAACACACGCTCGATACTGTTATTTGTCATTGGCATTTTTTATTTTATTTAATATTTATTTAATTTGTCGTTATATATGTGCTCCATATATGTATGTTATATTATTAATATAATAATTTTCTTTGTTTTTTTTTTTCGTCTGAATTTTGTTTTCACAGATTCCATTTGGTCACGCAATGCAATCTGAACACTGAGACAACAATGCTTGTGAATGAATACTATATGGCAACAATAACAATTAGCAATCCCTACAATGTTTTCGTAACTGGCATAGCATTGAGTATTAGTGTACCGAACCAATTGAAAAATAAAGGTAAGTCGTTTTTTTTTTTTTTTTTTTTTTTTGTAAATTTGTAATATTTATTATAGCCCTCTAAACGAAAATAAGGCAAATAGTGATTTCGAAAAAGTCGCTTTGTCTTTAAAACTACCTAATGATGGATAAACTTGCCTCCGATAAAGTCGTATGTTTCTTAAGCGCGGGAAATTTAATCGGCTAGGTTTAAGAAAGATGCAAACCAGGTCTCCATCATGCAAATACCCTCAGTAAGCGCAGTAAAGACATCCAAAAGTACGTTTCAAAGCCTGTCACTGGTCTACAAACCAATAGCCTTTCTTTTTTAGGAAGAATAAGAGAATATCTTTTACAAAAACAAAAAATCGTATTCACATAAAATTCTCAAAAACCTCCCAATAAATCAAATAGCGTTCAACTCAAACTAATTGAGAGTAATTGATTTTCAATTGAAGTTTCATCTATTAGTCCAATAAATCTTATTTATCGATATCAAATGGGTTTAATAAGTTTTCATCAATCCAGAAACACCAATTCTTTTTTTGAAAAAATAAAACAACAAATATTTATATTTCATCATTTCATAGATTGTCTTATAAATCTCTTTACATGATTTACAGTCGTATAAACACCAGGAAAATTCTTACGACCACAACCGATTCCAAACGAAACAATGCCACACAATTCGCCACGGTGCACCAAGGGTCCCCCTGAATCCCCAGAACAAGCATCCTTTTTGCCCGGTACTGAGCCACACATCATTGTACGCGATAACTGCATTACACTACGATAATCTCGTTTACATTTCTGTTTCGATAGCATGCGCACATTCACGGTACGCAATTGATTTGATGGTCGTGTACCATTTTCATGTGTTAGACCCCAACCGGAAACTTTAACCCAATCGTTGGTACGAATACGATGAGAACATAATCGAATTGGGGCAATATATCGGCCGGTCATAGGTTTATCTAATTTCAATACGGCCACATCCATATTAACATTTTTCATATTGAATGATTTCGGTATGCTTATTTTCTGAACAGACCGCCGAACTCCTACTTGATTTAGATAGGTGACACCACCATGGACATTAAAGTCCCTCGCCGTAAGACCCTGCATGCAATGTGCTGCCGTTACCACATATCTCTTGGCCACTAAAGTTCCACCGCAAAAGAATTCACCATTTTTTAAACGCAACGATACAATATATTTTGTTTGATTTATGGTCGTTTTCTTTCCACCAATTATGCGCAATTTACTGACAGCATTAGCGCAGGTCTCGTTTAAAACAACTAGGAGCAAGAAAACAAATGTAACCGATGTTGGTTTCATTCTGTAGCCGTTAATGTCTTGCCCTTGCTGTTTAGAACTATTGCCATCAATCTTATTCGGAAACTTATTTATAAGAAGTTTCAGATGTTTAGACCTTGTTACATTTACATAATTCGATATTTGAACAAGTGTTTGGCGCAATAACAACTGTCTTACTGTGCCTTGACCTTGCTTACAATTTCAAGTAACCAATTGAACTACATATTTTTTGGAAACATTTAGTCAAATATAGACGAGTGAGTCAAAGACCGCAAAAGTCAATGAAAGTTCTCCGATGTCTCCTCAGGCATATTCGATATTTAGTAAATATAAAAAATATATTTGTATTTTTTTAATACAGATCTTTTGGCTGTCTTCGATTTGATTAATTGCTAATAATGTGTCCACTTCTATGTCTAATAATGTGTCCTCTTCTAATGTCAGACCTAAAGATATTTGTTTGGTATAAATGATCGACTGGAGTCTAAAAAAATATGTCTCTTTTTAAGACTATATCCATATATCAATCGTACGAAATTTAGTACTCTTCGTACCCATAAGTACGAATTTTCGAAACTACCTCAATCCTACACTTCAACATTAATGTTTATTCCAAAGCTCAGGAATTCAGCTTTATCCGTTCACACATCAAATTTACCAAATTTAGAACGGTTTACCGTACCGTAGATCCGTATAACTACCCCCCAAATCTCAGTTCTACATTCCAACAGTAATCATTATTCCAAATTTTAAGTTTCCAGCTCTCCCTGTTACCCAAATGAAAATTGTTCCAAAATTAGTGCATTTAGTATTATTCGTACACATAAACTCGAATTTCCATAACTCAATCCTACACTTAAATAATAACCTACATTCCAACTCTCCGGATTCGAGCTCTGTCCATTCACCCAAATTAGACCAAATTTAGTATCATAAATACGAATTTCCAAAACTATCTCAATTCTGCTTTCAAATAGTAATCGTAAGTCCGAATTTAATAATTCCAGCTCTATCTGTTCACCAAAATCCCAATTGTACCAGATATTGCACCACTCAGTACTTTTCGTACCCATATTACAAAACTATCTCAATCCTACACTCCGGCAGTAATCTTAGTTGCAACTTTCAGGATTCCAGTTCTACGCGTTCACCGAAGTCCAAATTGTAGTAAATGAAAACATTTCGTACTCCAATAATAATCTTAAGACCTCATTTAAGGATTCCAGCTCTATCCGTTCACCAACATCCAAATCGTACCATATTTAGTAGCATTTATTAGTTTTCGTAGACGTATCCGTTCACACATAATAAAGTTGTACCAAATATAGTACCTTTTAGTACTCACATGTACTATGCTTCCATATCTTAATTTCAAATTCCAACAGCAACCATTATTACAAATTTTAGGTTTCCAGCTCTGTCCGTCCACCCCAATCCAAATTGTACCAGTGCCGTTTAGTAATTTTTGTACACATAAAATCGAATTTCAAAAGATGTCTCTATAGCTCAATCTTCAACAGTAATCTTAATTATAGAGTTCAGGTTTTCAGCTCTATCCATTCAAGCAAAATCCAAATTGTACTAAATTTACTACCATTTAGTACCAATAAGTAATGAGTACTTTTCGTACAAATAAGTACGACTTTTCTAAACTACCTCAATACTACACAATAGTCACACTTGCACCAATTTGTGTACCATTTAGTACTTTTCATGTGTACGAAAAGTACGATTTTTTACAGCTACCTCAATCCCACACTCCAATCGTAGTCCTAATTCCTATGACTAATTTTTGGTTTTTATAGACCTATTTTCCAAAGGAAGGGATTGTAAATCGCCATCACGGGTCAATTTTCCATACGGATTCATACATGACATAGCCCCACTCTCCTCCTTTTCAGTACATACCCCATCCGTTTATGATTGCTTACATTATTATAGAATTATTGTTGTTTTTATTTTTATTCACAATTTATTTTATTATTAACTAAATTAAAGAAGGAATACATTTACAATTTCATAGCTCTATCGATAAAATTACGCACTGACTTAATACTCGTATAGACTCCTGGATATTTTGTACTGGCACAACGTAAACCCCACGATACAATACCGCACAATTGATTTTGAAACACTGCCGGTCCACCCGAATCACCATAACACGAATCCTTGCCCTTCGCCAAATCGCTGGCACAAAACATTGAATCGGTTATCGTTTCACGCTGACGATATGCCTCGACACATTTGCTGCGCAAAACCAGCGGTACACGAACTTTACGCATTTGCTGAACTTCAGCTTTATTATTTTCCGACAATTGGCCCCAACCATAGACATCAATATAATCTCCAAATTTCCAACTAGCCTCACACAATGGTATCGTATCAATATTGTTACCTTTCATATCGGATGCAAGTTTCAACACAGCCACATCCATGTGATAGGGTTTGGGTTTGTTGTAGTTTTGAGGTTTTATTATTTTTGTAACTCCTCGTCGTACACCGGGCTCAGAGAGGCGTGTTGCTCCACCCACCACAATGACCTTTGAGGGATTAATACCGTCTATACAGTGGGCAGCGGTGATTACAAATTTGGGCGCCACCAAACTACCACCACAGATGAATTTGCCATTTACCCTCAAATAAACCAAATATTTGGCTTTATCAATGGTCGTGGGATCACCTCCAACTATACGCGAATTAATGGGAGTAGCTTGAGCAATTGAGTTATTATCGGTCGCATTGTGTATCAGCGGTAACAGGAGTACAAATAGAGCTATTATATTCCATAATGATAGAGGTAACTTTTGGGTCATTTATAATGTTGGCGTCGATATATCAAACATTGGTTGAGAGTGGATTCACAGATTTTCGATTTAGTATTTTGATTTATTATTGCGTGTGTTTTTAAAGTTCCGCTGCAGTACCGGGAACATACTGCAATGTTATGATTTTTATTAATTAATTTCAAATAAGCCACCAAAATCAGACAACTTCCTTATTTATAGAGTTTTTAATGAAAACATTGCATGCATTCATTCGGCTGTTGGTCAGAATTTTGATCTTTATCAATATTTGTATTTTTAATTTTAAAACAAAACCCTATGACGTTGTAGGGTAATATTTGAAAGTGGTTCATTGGAAATAATCTATTAGGTGGATGTTTTAAAAAAATTTATGGAATAAATTTCGGGCTACCATTTTACTTACTTTGAATGACCAACTCATGTTGGAGAGTATACAGAACATTAAGAGTGACAGAACATTTGTTCCATAAGCCGAGCTTAAAAAATATCTTGCACACAGCTCTTCCAATTTGAAAGACCATGTTCCGATATGTTCTTTTATGCTTGGTGAATAGATGGTGCAACTCATGACTGGCGATATTCACCCTCAACGCAGATCGACCAATAGATATTTCGAATATTTTTTTCTCTCGAACACTCCACCTGTTTCCCCAATTCCCAATGCTCCAGATCCATTTAACAGCGTCTTGTAGGTATATAAATTCTTTGACTACCTCGAAGCTGTAGTTCACAAGTTCCAAAGTTGATCCGAGTTTAGTGGGCGAGTTAATGCCATCAGCTTGGTCTTCTTGCCATTTACTACCAGACCCACTTTGGGGGACTCCTTCTCAATTTGTTCAAAGGTGTTACCCGCGTAGGCGGGTAATATGTGTCTGTTACCCGCGTAGGCGGTTAATATGTGTTGTTTGCTGTACACAGTGCCATTCCTGTTCAAATTTGTATATCGTATGACCTTTTCCAGCTGTGGTCACACGACAAAATGTTACATTTTCTGAATCCTCGTTCGGTATTAAAGGGTTCCGATGGGTCCTTTCCGACTTTGACGTTGCCAGTTAAAGTTATCCTGCATAGCTGTATTAATTTTGCAGAAATGCCGAACACAGACATGGCCCTTAAAACCTCTGAGCGAATGCGGCTTTATAGTCGACGAAAAGGTGAAATGAAACCGCATTGGTATGGTCCAATAATGTAATTGACCATTGACTTCAGTCATTCACACAGCACGCGATGAGAAGGATACTTATTCCTCTATAGTTGCTACATATCGTATTGTCTCATTTTTTGTGCATGGGACACGGGGTGCTGAAGTTCCAATCATTGGCCATGCACGCCTCTAGCCAAATTGTACTAATTTGCTGGTGCATGCACCTGATCAGCATCTGACCACCAGTCTTGAATTGTTCCGCTGGTATCCATCGGCACCTGCTGCTTTATTATTCGATTGTTATTCTGACCTCATCTAGGCTAGGTGACTTGATTCTATACCGTCATCTCTTATTGGTTCTGGGGTATCTTCTTCACCGCCATTATTTGACACCAGAAGCTTTTCAAAATGCTCCTACCAGATCCTCAACACGCTGTCTGCATCTGTCAACATGTTTCCTTCTTCATCTCTACTACAGGAGGATGTGTCTGGACCAAAGCCTTCCATTTGGTGTTTACTCGTTGGTAAATTTTCCGAACTTCGTGTTCTTTTTTCTAAAAATACGTTTCTCCTCTCTCCTTTTCTCCCGATAATTCTCTCTCGTATTCCGTGTTGCTACTGTCTGCAGGGTTGCCCTATACGCTGCGTTTTTCATGTCAGTAGCATTACGACACTCCTGATCGTACCACGGGTTACTTGATGGTGGTCTTTGGTACCCAAGTGTTGATTTTGCTGCAGTTTGTAGGGAGTGGGTAATTTTTTGTCATTGTGCTTCTATATTATTATCGGCAAGAAGTGCTTTCGTCAAACAGTTGGGTAAGTTGAGCGGAGTAGGCCTCTGCTACCTGTTGTGTTTGCAGTTTTTCGACGTCGAGTTTTCGTGTTGTGTTAGATCGCACCTTTGCTGCTAAATTAAGGCGGGTGCTAACCTTGGCAGCTACAAGGTAGAAGTGGTCCGAATCGATATTCGATTCTCGGTTCGATCAGACGTCTAAAACACTGGGTGAATACCTCCCGTCTATCACAACATGATCAATTTGATTTCTCGTTGCCTGATCAGCAGAAATCCAGGTGGCTTGTGTATCTGCTTCTAACTACCATGTTTTTGCTGCCGTGAAGTCAATCAACCTCATGCCGTTGTCGGATGTTTCTCCATGGAAGCTGATTTGTGCATTAATCTCCTAGCAGAACTTTAATGTCATGTCCAGGTCAGCGGTCATACACTGTTTTTAAGCGCTCGTAAAATATGTCTTTGTCTTCCATCGGAGCATGGGCACAAATAAGACTGATGTAGAAGAACTTCACTTTTATGCGGATTTTTGCAATTCGCTCATCTACTAGAATGAATCTGGAGACGAGGTATTTTATTATCCTTTAACCATAATTCCGCACCTAAATTCATGTCTTGTTTAATGGCAGCTATATCAGTGTCCACAATTAAGATGAAAGAGGGACCAAGATAAGCCTGGGATTCGCCATGTTAAAGCCAATTAGAGTCGTTGCTTGGTATATATCATTCCCTACGCCACCCGGTCTTTATTAGTTATTTTTTTTAATAAAACCGCCAAAACCAATTTGTTTTCCTTAAAAACTATAACTTTTACCGACAAAAAAAAACAACAATTTCGTAATTTAGTAATTCTTCATCGTATTTTCAATAAAACTCTTAACTTTATTGATATTTGTATAAACTCCAGGATATATTTTACTAGCACATTCAGGTCCCCATGAAACTAAGCCGCATAATTGATTTTCATATACAGCCGGTCCACCCGAATCACCATAACATGCATCCCTGTACTTAAGATCTCCGGCACAAAACATTGATGATGTTATTCGGGCAAAATTTTTAAATGCCTTCTTACACTTTCGTTGATCTATAAACGGTACTTGGACCATACGCAATCGATCCGATGGATATTTGTTACGAGTTTTACCCCAACCATAAACTTCGAGATTTGGGAAATGCGCGGTATTGCAAATTTTAATTGTTGAAATATTTTCACCGCTCATATTTGATCTCAGCACCAATATGGCCACATCCATATTTAATTTGGGACGATTATATTTTTTCGGTATAATGATATGTCGAACATATCTCTTAATAGTTTGTTTACTGAGCAGTGTTGAGCCACCCATAACGGTTAGACTAAAAGGGACATGACCAACAACACAATGGGCAGCTGTGATGACATGTCGTGGACTCAGTAAACTACCAACACATTTATATTTGCCAAACACCCGTATGCTTACAACATAGTTTGCATCCTCTGCAACAGGAATGCCACCCATTATCCTTGTTATGGACCTTGTATTTCGTCGTCCATCGGGATCATATGCTGCAAAAAGTATCACGGCTAATACGAAAAGAATAAAAAGTTTAATCATCCTGCCACTGATTACGAACGAATGATTTCAAAACAACTTGAAACTTGTTTGTAATTTTTCTATTGGGTTTTATAGCCATATTTGCAATTTAAAACAGGCAATCTCAATGACTGGAATGTCAGTAATAAATCTCCTCTATGTAAATTCTTTAAATAGTTAAACTCAGTGGAGTAGTTTATCTATTTTCATTAGATTTGCTATTTAATTTTATAGGTTTGTTTTATTAAAAAAAATATATAAATACAACTGGAAAGAGAAAATATAGAAAATAAATCTTGGGGTATAAAGGTATATTATATATTGTATGCACCGAAATGGCACATCAAAAATATTATTCACTAGCGAAGTGCCCGCTACTTCGTATGCGGCAAGGGAATACAAAACAAATAAATAATATTTTATATGGAAATCGTGAATACTGTATAATTCGATGTACTATATTTCTCATCTATTCCTACATCTATTATCAAGTTTTTTTTCCGAAATCGTCTTCTTATTTTCATTATATTAAAAAGTAATCACTCAAAAGTACGAATTTCTAAAACTACATCTATCCTGCTTTCAAATAGTAATCGTTGATCCAAATTAAGAATTCCAGCTTATTGGTTCACAAAAATTCCAGCCTATTTGTTCAAAAAAGGTTTTGATATATCAAGCATTGATTCACTCCCATCTTACGTATCTACCAGGAATATATGCCTATAAAAACAATAGCTCGATAAAAGAACTGCAACGAGCACAGAACACTGCATTAACCAGTAAGGAAAGTAATAAAGTCGGACTGGGCCGACTATATGATACCCTTCACCACTTTGGGTATATTCTACATATATATCCAACAGACGCGTTTTTGTTACATATCTATATCTGTACCGATTTCAGGGAAACTTGCCAGAGACTAATTTATATTACTTCAATACGTTGTGTCAATCTAGACTTAATTCTGTACCCTATACCAAAATGCACCAATTACATAAAATCGGATTAAAATATATATGGGGACTATATCTAAATCTGAACCGATTTTCACGAAACTATGCACACATCATTCTAGATTTAATTCAGTACGCTGTGCCAAAATTCGAGGAAATCAAAACATTTCCAGGGACTTTATTGGACTATTTACCTAAAATCGGGCGAAACTATATATAAGAGCTATATCTAAATCAGAACCGATTTTCACGAAACTTTGCACACATAATTCTAGACTTAATTCAGTACGCTGTGCCAAATTTCGTGCACATCGAAAGATATATAGGGACTTTGGTACACCATTTACATTAAATCGGACGAAGATATATATGGGAGCAATATCTAAATACGAGCCGATTTTCACGAAACTTTGCACACATCATTCTACACTTAATTTAGTACGCTATGCCAAATTTCGTGCACATCGAAAGATATATAGGGACTTTGGTACACAGTTTACCTTAAATCGGACCAAGATATATGGGAGCTATATCTAAATCTGAACTGATTTTCACGAAACTTTGCACACACCATTCTAGACTTTATTCATTACGCTGTGCCAAATTTCGTGCAAATTGAAAGATATATAGGGACTTTGGTACACCATGATCCACATGAAATCGGACGAAAATATATATGGGAGCTATATCTAAATTTGAACCGATTTTCCCAATTTCAATAGGGTTCGTCCTTGGGCCAAACAAATGAGCTGTGCCAAATTTCATCCAATTCGGATCATAAATGCGACCTGTACTTTGTTTACAATTTAACGTGGACAGCCGGACGGACGGACATGCATAAATCGACTCAGAAAGTTATTCTATGCATATTCTCAAAAAGCCAAAAGAAGCCATGGGTCTATCTCGATTATTTTTGCCTGTTACAAACATATGTACAAAGACATAATACCCCGTACCACAGTGTGTTGTAGGGTATAAAATTGTTTTGAATCTACCAAGGCGTTATTCTTCCCTGCAACTTTTTAGACGCAAACTCAAAACTATTCTGCCGATAAGAGGATTATATGTGCAGCAAATATTTACGTATGTTTTCAAGTCTATCAGGAACACAGGTGTAAGATCAATAGAGTTTGCCGTTAATTTTGAGAGAACTGCAAGAAATACACGTCAATCCTACCAACTTCATGTTGTCAGGTGTAGTTTTGAGACCACTAAGCACCGACTTGGTTTTGCTGGGCCAAGTGAATACAACAAATTGTCGCTTGAAATAAGAAAAAACTACCTCTGCCATGTACTCCAATCATAATCTTAAGTCCACATTTAAGTGGACTCAAATCTAAATTGTATCAAATATAGTACCATTTAGTACACAAAAAATACATATTATGATATGATACACTCTAACCGTAATATAAATTCCAAAAGAGTTGGAATCTTTAACTCTATCCTACCGTCCAAATGCAAATTGTATCAAATTTAGTACCATTTAATAACAACTTCTCTACCCTATAAGTATGAATTTTCAAAACTACCTCAACCTTGCAAAACTTTTAGAATCCCAGCTCAACCCTTCGCACAAATTCAACTTGTACCATATTTAGTACTTTTCAATCGCATAATTACGAATTTACAAAACTACCCCAATTTTACACTTAAACAGAAATTTTAGTTCAAAAATTCAGGATCTCAGACCTATCCGTTTACACAATTACAATTTTCGAGTACAAATTTCCAAAGCTGTCTCTATAGCTCAATCCTCAATTGTTATCTTAATTCCAAATTTTCAGCACTCTCCGTTCACCGAAAATCTAAATTGTACTAAATTTAGTTCCATTCATTTATTTTCGTACCCATAAGTACGAATTTCCTCCTACCCATAAGTACGAATTTCCAACCTTATCTCACGCCTACACAACAAAAACAACCCACAATCGAAATTTCAAGCTTCTATATCCAGCCGTTTCATCTGGGCGATGATCTGCAAGTCACTCACTCACTTAACACTAAGCTCTTTTATATATTAAGAAAGAGGGACTAAAAAATAGAAGTCACAGGGGCATTGAAAGGGAGACGATACTCTTCCCGAAACACGGCATGTGGGTCTTCAAATTCGAGCCAAATCCAACGAAAGTTTTCGTGGTTGTAGCATTTCGAAGTACACGGTGAAACTGGTCATGTGTCTACTGTTCAGTTTGAACAGCATTTGAGTTAAATTCTGAGTGGTACACCATATTTTGTTTCTCTATAGTCTTAAGAGTAATGCGATAAAGTCTTCAAAAACCATGTTTTCAAAGTTTTGCAATCGGAGTTCTAGTATGGGCATATGCTGAGGACTAGTACATTTGTACCTATTCTACGGGGTGAAATAAAAACTGCAACAAAGTCAAACGATATATTTTTTTAACTTTATTGAATGAAAGCAAAAAATGTCGGAAGTAGCCTCAAATTTTGGAATATGTTTAAATTTGTTCGAATTGGTCACCTAGCCTTAAAATGGCCAATGAAACCGTCACACGCTGCCCAAATGTTGCTCTGCGGTATTTCGGCCCATTCCCGGCGAAGCGCTTGCTTTAGGTGATCGACACTTTGGTGTTTTTAGCGTCAACCTTGCTTTCCAAATGATTTTGGTGGCCATTGTGCGCTGGAAATGAAACGAGGAACCTCATTTTGTAACTAGTCTTGGGTGGCATGTGCTAAATGCCACGGTCGATTAATACGAGCGCAGAGCGACCATCGGCTGTTATGGCGGCCCACACCATCACCATGGCCGGCGCTTGAGTTGTGGTGGCTGGCCAACCGAAGGTGCACATTTTCAGCTGACCTCTTTGGCAAGTAAGCACGATCATTTTGTTTGTTTACAAACTGCTGGACAACCCAAATTCGGCAGTTCACCACTTTCGGCCAAGCGAAGAAAATGTTTAGCTCTTTTGAGTCTATTTTCTTTCCGTTGCGGTGTAAGATCTTGCACTTTTTGGAATTTCAATGGCTTTACCCCGAGCCCATTTTTCAATATTTGCCGAATGCAATATTGCGATATGTTCAGCTCACAAGCCATTTTTCGGCCAATGCGACACGGGTTTCGATCAAGTCGCTTATTTACTTTTCGAACCATTTCTGCTGATGTTGCTGTTTTCTTCCGTACACTTCCTTGACGTCGGGCTATGCAACCAGTATCACGGTAACGAGCGATGGTACGAGACTCAAAAGATTTATTCACATTTAAATGCTGGAGTGCTCTTATTATAACCACTTGTGGTTTTCCTGTCAAATATAAATAAATCACACTATGACGCTTGAATTCCATCACGAATATTTTTTTTCTGGAAAATTCTTACCAAAATTATTTTGTACGCTTGTAAACAGCAGTCGGACGAGTGGCTTAGAAATGACAGCAGTCTGAAGTTGGTTGCAGTTTTTTCATCTCACCCTTTATACTCAACATTTTTCAACCTGCATTCCGAATATATCCAAACTAGCGGAATTATTACCTTAATGATTAATGATTCATAATAGACATTTCGTGCAAATAGTTTTTTCATATGTATGTTTTTGTAGTTTTGTATGTGTTTACAAATTGAAGTGAAATGCAACTTCCGAATGAAACGTACATTTCAGTATTATTCAATGGATTCCCTCATTCGATTCATATCGATATTTTACGCATTATTAATCTACACAACATTCACCAATGCCAAACACAACAAGTTCCGTACGCCATCAAACACCGATCCTCGTATTGTGGGCGGCGAAGAGACAACCATTGATCGAGTACCATATTTAATAAACCTACGACGAAATGGACAATTTACTTGTGGCGGTTCGTTGATAACACCCTATTGTGTCCTCACCGCCGCCCATTGTGTTTATCGCGCAACTGCCAATAGTTTAACAGTAGCTGGAGGTGCTTCAAAACTTACCGATAACGCCGAAATGCGACAAGTTCAACAAACATTTGTATCGGCTTTCTATACGCCCAGCACATTGGATATGGATGTGGCAGTTTTGAAATTAATGCAACCTTTGGTGGGAACAAATATTGCCACAATTTCTCTTTGCTCCAAAAAACCCGAGGATGGTGAATTGGTACAGATATCCGGTTGGGGTTATACAAGTGAAACAAATCGTCAACCATCCGAACAAGTTCGTACTGCCAATGTACGCATGGTATCCCGTGCAGAATGCCAGCAGGCCTATGGAGGACAAGCAACGCTGACAAGCAGCATGTTTTGTGCCACAATACCCGGGCAGAAAGATTCATGTTCGGGTGATTCTGGAGGTCCCGTTGTCTATAGGGGTGAGGTTTGTGGTATTGTTTCATGGGGATTTGGTTGTGCACGTCCTGAATATCCTGGTGTGTATACAAATGTCGCCAGTTTGCGAGTAAATGCCTATATTCGTGGTATTGTTATGGCAAATTGTTTATAAGATATGCAGATAAAAATAATAAAAAACGATTTTTTAATAATATTTGAAAATTATTTTTATAAATTGAAATCAGATCCAAGGAAAAGGTGAAAACGCCCTTGAGTTCGGCAGGTCCGAACTAGTTTAAAGATATCTGGACAAGCCAGCAGAAAGCTTTTCATCACAACACGGCTCAAAATTTAAACCTATGTTATTATATCATATTGGTCATGGAATATTACAACATTAAAAATTGTTGTTGTTGTTTTAGCAAGTTTTACTACTGTTATTTTTTTCTACACGATCTCCTACAAATCCAGTTTCAAAACAAGGAGTCCATAGTGAAGATGGGGTTAGGTGAGTGGGTTTGTCTGGGTAATTGGCTACACCACCCTGATCTCATCACAAAGTTGTTGTTGTAACAAATTGGCTATGTAATTTTCATTCCTGAAAATATTGGTAGACGAAATCGAAAAGGAAAATGGAAAATATATTAACTTAATGGTGTTAGGATTTGAAGAGGATAGCCGGAGAAATTGTGCACTTCTATCGACTTTAGCCATATATCAATGGGCAATATACTTGGAGGAATGGACGGAAAATTGTATAGATGGTGTATGTCGTGAGGGCTTTGCTGGCAGAAGGGACACATATTTAGGATTCCGGGGACAATGCGCTCTCGATACGAATTAGGAATACATAGACGAGCGTAAAAGTCGACTTTTCGTTTTTGCCTTTGACAAAAAAGTCGACTTTTCTATCTTTCAATTTTGTCAAACCTGGTCAAAATCGATTTTCGACTGTTAGTGACTAATGAAAAATCGACTAAAGATTCGATTTTTTTACATGAATTTGTGTCAACAGAGGTAATAAAATAATCTTTGGGCAATTTGGGGTTTGTGCTATAAACAAAGTAATTATGAAGAAAATCGATCTTGGAAAGTCGACTTTGCGATTTCGTAAAATATCAAAAATCGACTTCGATTTTTAGACTTTATAATATAAAAAGTCGATTGGTCGAAAGTCGATTTACTTATCCGTATACGAATTGAGAACGATGCTATACCCGGATCATAGTTGCGCCAGAATCGAACGGGCTTGCCTAGGAAAAAAAACCTCTCACTGTCCGAAATTCCATCTTTTGATATAGGATTTCATCTTTTGATATAGGATTTCATGACGTCTTGAATGACTTCACGATGGCGCCCAAGTTCTGACGGCTGTGTCGCGCAGGTGGATCAGTCATCACTGTGAAATGGCTGAGATGACAAACATGCCAGAAGGAACTGTCTAGTCAACCACACATTATGTTGCTTGAATGAAAGCACCTTCGTATCCTTTTGAAGAAAAAAGGAAAATGGAAAAAAAAACCATGTGTTAATGGGGCTAGAATTTGAAGAGGGGCAATTGAATAGATGGTGTGTGTCGTGAGGGCGTTGCTAGCAGGAGGAATATTGAATTGAAAACATTACTATACCAGGTTCTTTGTTGTGTCAGAATTGGACGGGTTTGCCTAGGAAGAAGGGTCTCAATGTCTGAAATTTCAGGACTATGTTGGTGTAGGACTTTGTTGCATCTGTATCCACTTAAGGCTTGGGAGAAAGCCTATTGATGTACGGATTTCACCGCGTTCGCTATGTCGATTTGTTGTCGTCCGATGGAATGCCGTCTTTTATGGTTGTGTAATGGTTGGATTGACACTTCCGATAGTATGCCCGCAGGAACTGTCTAGTCAACATTACATTATGTTGCTTGACTGACAGTATCCTGGTCTCCTCATAGAAGTGATCGACGCTAGTCACCTGGACACATCAGGTTGCAATTCGGAGTGCATTATTTTCCATTACCTCCATTGTGTGGCCTGACGAATGTGTCGCGAAGGTGGATCAGTCATCATTGTGTAATGGTCGCGATGACTCGCCAGCAGAAGCGGTCTAATCAACATCACAATATGTTGTTTGACCAAACTGGTCACCTCATGGATGTGATCGACGCTCGTCATCTGGACACACCAGGTTTTGCAATTCGGAGTGCATTACTTTGAGTAGTTTACAAGTATCTTCATTTTGTGGCACTAAGGAAAGTAGTCCAGTGGGTCGATTCACAATCAAAATTAAACAATTCTCAAATCGATAAAATATTATAACGACAAAATAAGCAATATTTTAATTCAATAACAGTTTTTAACAATAATTGTTAAAAATGTTGTTAATAATAATATTCTAATATAATATTCTTCAATATTGAACATGCCTTGTTTTGTTCATAATTTGTATGTATGTTGTTTTCAAAATGTTCCAAATGAAAAGCTTTTTGAAAGTTTATCGACAATTTGTCTACATTTTTACAGAATAACATGTTCGTTACTGCAAACGATTTTATTTGTAGACAAAATTGTCGATTGTCGGATTGTTATAAGTTACTGAATCAACCTACAGACCTGGGCAGCATAATTAAGGATGGATGGAACGATGGCCTTGTATGTTGTTACAACGTTTTTTAATCCTTGCCGCAGGAGGTGTCAGACAAAGATTTTAGAACTTTATTCCTAGCATACACCTTTTGGTTGACGTAGTTAAAAAGCGAGGGGAAATGTAGGAGGTTTTCTAAGACCACCCCAAGGATTTTCGGATTATGGACCTGTAGTCATTTGTGGCTTCAGATATGCATTTCATCGTGTTCGTTATCGATGATCTGTTTATTCTGATCAAGCTCGTCATCTGGACACACCAGGTTTTGCAATTCGGAGTGCATTATTTTGAGTAGTTTGCAAGAATCTTCATTGTGTGTCGCTAAAGAAAGAAATCCACACCGGGGCGGCATAATTAAGTATGGAACAACCGATAGCCTTGTATGCCCCAGGCTAGATTGCATCTTCTGATTGACGTTTTTGGAATACCAGGAGAAATATAGGATGTTATCGAAGACCACCCCAAGTATTTTGGGATTATAGACGGTGGGGATAAGCCTTTCAATTCAAGTACTATATTTACTTCTCGGATCCAGGAAGTGAAAAAAGACACATTAGACGTTCCAGTGGCTAATTAGTTGAAAATTTTTACACTTTCGTCGTCAAGGTTGTTGTTTTGTGGTCTCTAAACAACTAAAACAATTTTGTCTACATTACTATTCTCCACCTTTATTTCTTCATATCCCATTCAATCTGGTTTTATATTTATCCCTAATATTATACTACATATTATTACGATATTACATATTAATTCCAATTTACTACATATTTACTGTGTATCAGAACATTGTTTACAATTAAGTTTTTTGAACTGTAAATAAAGCTTAGCGACGAACACTTGATCTCAATGGAGGTCATACGCTATAAAACATTTACTACCATTATACTTAGACGTATGGGTTTTGAAACATAAACTATAAATTAAATTTCACAATTGATTTTCAAATAGTTCAAAAGATCTCTTTGCAAAATGATTATCATTAAATATTTGCTGTTTGCAATTGGCGTAGCCACATCTTTTGCAGATAGTTGGAGTATATCCTCATCGCGCACTCCGCGTATTGTCGGTGGCAAAAAACTCTTTGTCGATGAAATTCCCTATATGGTGAATATACGCAGTAATGGTAGTTTCCATTGTGGCGGATCATTGCTAACATCGAAATGCGTAATAACGGCTGCTCATTGTGTCAAATATAGTAAACCCCGAGAATTAATTGTACGAGCTGGTGTTACCTATCTAAGGGAACGTCATAACCCACGAATGGTTAGGAGAATCATAAAATATCCGAATTATAATATTAAAACAATTAATTATGATCTGGCTATATTGGTATTGAAAACACCATTAACTGGTCATAATATCAGAACCATAGAGCTAACATCTCAGCCACCACCAGATGGTGCCGTTGTCAGAGTATCCGGTTGGGGTCAGGAACAAGAAAATGGTGATATTTCGGAACAATTGAAATCTGTTCAACTTAAAGTGATATCCCGAAAAGAATGTTCAAAATTCTACAAAGGTTTTCGAAATATTACCGATGCCATGTTTTGCGCCTTTGTACCGGGCCTCAAAGATGCTTGTTTGGGCGATTCTGGTGGTCCAGCTGTATACAACTATCGTTTGGTTGGTATTGTGTCATGGGGTCGTCGTTCGGAGTGTGCTCGCCCCAATTCGCCAGGTGTTTATGTTAACGTCGCCAATGTTAGACCATGGTTGGATGCTGTAATACCAAATCATTGTTATTGACAATAAAAGAAAGAAAATATATTTTTAGAGTTTTAATTTGTTTTAATAGTTGAGCTTGTGGCAGGTCAAATTCATGGATTGTAGATGTATGACCAAATACCCATGACAAAAAAAAGTATTTCTGTAGTGATGGCAAATGTCGCAATGACTGCTCAATATATTTGATGAGCCGCTTATAGTCCCAAAATCAATTATAAGAAAAATGTGTTAATGGAGTTAGGATTTGAAGAGGGTAGCCGGAGAAATGTGTAGGCTCGGATGGACAGGAAGGACATCTATTTAGGATTCTGAGACAATGCGTTGTCGAATCGAACGGATTTGACTAGCTTACAGTCCCAGATCATGGATCGAAACTAGTACGGATACAATTCCCGAACTTGTATGCTTGTGGAATGATCGTTGGGTAAGGATAGGAGACGGTGTGGAAATTGGCTTCGAGAGGTGTTGGTTTTTGCATTTGGTTATTCCATTGTGGAGGGCCTGTAGTTATTAGTTCAAATGGTAGTAGTTTCGGCTACGAAAACCTGCAGAGTTTAGTCTGTTGGGGGCCATTCCCGAACAAGCATGCTTGTGAAGCAATTGTTGGCAGGGATGAGATGCATGGTGGTCACTTTCGCTTTTTATTCCCTTTCAGCGATAGTGTTTCATTGTACACAATCTACAAATATTAGTTCTAATGGTAGTAGCTTTGGCTATAAAGCTGGACTGAGGCTATAGTCTGTGGGTTACCAGTCTCGAACTGTTTGGGGTTCACATAGCTTGCGTTATGAACCTGACCGAAAGTTTCGGTAGCACAGGTGTCAGGGTCCCTAGATCTACGGATCTAGCCTGACAGTTGGTATTGGCCCTTCGGTGCTGGAGGTGGTTTATACTCAAATCGCGGGTGGAGTTTTGGCTCGATGTGGAGTTGCATTACAACCGGGCGTCAGACCCATAGAAAGGCAGGTGTTTAAGATGGGCTCCGCTCCTGATCGACGCTCGTCATCTGGACACACCAACTTGCAATTCGTAATGTATTATTTTCAGTAGGTTACGTGGATCTTCATTGTGTATCTCTAAAGAAAGAAGTAAAGGCCGGGGTCAGCAAATTTAAGGATGAACGACGATGACCTTGTATGGCGATACAAACGTGCCTTTTGTACTTGTCCCAGGAGATGTCAGCCAAAACATTCAGAACTTTATTTCTAGCTTTCACCTTTTGGTTGAAGTAGTGGAAATGCGAGGAGAAATGAAGGAAGTTTTCTAAGACCACCTCAAGGATTTTCGGATTGTGGATCTGTAGTCATTTATGGCTTCTGATACGGATTTCATCGCGTTCGCTATCGACGATCTGTTGGCGTCCTATGGCGTCTTGTGTGTGTCACTAAAATGTGGACACCGGGCAGCATAATTAAGTATGGAACGACCGATGGACCTGTATGTTATTACCAACGTTTCTTTATCTTTACCCCAGGAGGTGACAGCCAAAGCTTACAGAAATTTACTTCTAGCTACCGCTTTCTGGTTGACGTAGTTAGAATGCGAGGAGAGATAAAGGAGGATATTGAAGACCATCCCAAAGATTTTGGGTTTATGGACGGTGGGGATACGCCTAACTTCGATGGAAATGTGAAATTCTAAGTGAAAAGTGACACAGTAGACTTTGTACTGGATAATTTTAGATTGCGCTTCCGGAAGAGATTTGACGATTATGCAGAATCATTTTCTTCATTTTCATTTTCCGTAATCTTTTTTTTAGATCAGATCTCTAATATGTTAATCTCAGTCGTTTGGAACCTTTAATAGTGAAACTTTTTCAATACTATTATATGTACAAAATATTTATTTCATCTTCTTCTTTCTTTTCAGTATTCCTTGCCACAGATGTTGCCAATAATAAACAAAAAGTTCATTCGGTCATACATATGGACATTGGAGATTTAGCTATGCAAAGTTCCAATAATGTGTCATTCTACATTCTGAGTCTGGTGGAGACAACGATTACCTTGCAACAAAAGCTGTTCTATACCACAGATGTACTCAAACCCAAAGTGACAACAGCCATAATTGTAAATGATATTACAACACCGAACAGTAGTGAGGTAACACCAGAAAATACACCAGTAGCTGGTGTAAAAACCCTGCCAGCATTGACTCCACAATTACCCATGTCTCTGTTAACGCCAGTCCAATTGGAATTTATCGATGAGAATAGTGTGCGTAAAACGCAAGACTCAGTTCTGAGTATAAAATGTGAACCTGAATTCAAATTTCAAGGACGTTTTTACACACTAAATCGTATGCCTTTGACAAAAATCTATCGTGGTGAGAATTTTCTATTTCGTGCTGGACTTGAGGTTCAAAGTGATGTCGATTTGGATATCTTGGAAACCTATTTTATATGTGTAAGTATAGGGAAACTCTTTTTTCATGAAGACGTTATTCACAAATCTCTTATCCTTTTCTAGGATCATAACCTAGTGCAATCAAGTTATAGTTTTAAAAGGAAAAAATTCACCAACACCTACAAGCGTGGTGAAAAACTCGAAGATGTTATAGTTTTGCGTACTAATGACAATTCAGATGAATGGTTATCCATTAGGGACTATGAACGCAATAAAACGCACGAATGGCAAAAGTCTAACATATTTCATCGGTTACGAAGTTCCAGAAAAAACATGAATCTAACCGACCCTACTGCTGCAATTCCAAACAGTGCTGCCAACAATGCGGCATTGAACAAAAGTTTAATGGGTAAATTGGCCACCAATATGACAATAATCAATAACACTGCCTCCTCAGCAATGATGTCTAGCCAGAATTCAAATATGAGCTCATCAACCATATCGGACGATGGTAAAATAACCGCAACAGCAACAACGACGGGAAATCTAAACTCCAATAATGTGGATGAAAATGTTCAGGCGCTGGCGCCCAACAAACAATCACAAAATTCACGTTTAATTTACAATAAAGCCCTTGATGCCATTCAAGCGACTGGCCATCTCAGGGGATTCCTTAAGGGTTCAGTATTAACCAGTTCACAGCAGCAACAACAACCGTCACAACAACAGCAAATACTCTTCGGTTTCTATTGTGTCAAATGGCGACGCAGTGGCAGTAAAGAAGAAAACGAGTCTAAATTTGTTATAATGGGTCTGCCAATTATAGAACCACCTCTAAATGTCTACTGTTCCATGGAGGAGAAAATGTTCGTTAAAATGCCAATAACATTTAAGGTGGTATTGAAAAATCCAACATCGAAAGTTATACATCTGATCGCATCATTAAGTATAAATCTATCGGATAATTTTATTTGTTCGGGTCATAAACAGGTAAGATGGTGAAAGAATTTAAAATTTGAAATGTAAAAGAGTTTCAGTAATAGAAGATCTTTATGCAAAAGTTATATATATATATATACAGTATTTCAAGAATGATTTTATACATGGATAATTATTAACCCTTTTTGGCCCAATGTTGCCCACAGGCAACAAAATATTTGGAGCTTATGCTGTTGGTAGATATGTATTCTTTGGATTTCATATGTCAAGTCCTGATTATGAACGAAACATATCACAAGACAAATCTAAAAAATTCAAATTTTTGGTAAAGTTATAAGCTTTTTAATATAGAGAAGAGGGTAAATTTAAATTGCTTCGTATTCAATGTACGAATTCTGCCATCAGAATTATTTTTGATTCTTGTAGAACAGAATTTAGAGAATAATTTAAAATTATTTTTTCGTCGATTTTCTTGTAGAACAAAATATAGAGAATAATTTAAAATTATTTTTTCGTCGATTTTGCATTTGGTTTTCTTCACATTGGGCTTTTATTTGTCAGAGAGAATGTACTGTATCTCCCGAATGCAAGGATGTAGCGATGTCAAATTTTGTCCATATCCTATCTAGGATAGTTGCATTAAATCTGTGAACAGAAAATTGTTCTATGATTACGGAAAAAATTCGGGGCTCAAAGGGTTAAACATCTACAAATATAGAAGCTTGAAATAAAATTTAAATTATTTTTGATATTTGTGTGTTCTGCACTTTAAATAGTTTGAGTAACCAAATTAAAATTTAGTACAAAATAAAATATATGGTATGAGGAAAACGCCAATCGATCTAACTGGAATAAATCATATTTTTTGCGAGATATAAGCTTTGTTGTAATCATAGTATGAAATTTATATTAATTTTTGAATTATATATTGCGTCTTTCTCTTTGTTTTTTAGCTGGATATTTCAATATTTGCCTTTGGCGAAAAAGAACTTGTCTACAATCTCTATCCACTGCAAGTTGGCTGGCAAAATTTACCTGAACTTACTTTAGTCTATAATACACAAGCCGATCCAACAAAGGACGAAGCGCAAAATAATTTACTCAGTGAATTAGTACAACGATCTATACTGAAGAAAGTATTCGTTTTGGTAAGTCTTTAGTGCACATGATGATAATTTATTCCATACTTCTATTAACAAAAACTGTAAATTCCCTAATTCCATTTTAGCCACCATTAAAACAACAATTAAATAAATGAGATGTTTTCCCAGGGACCGCAAGACAATTCCTGAAAACTGTATACTAAAAAAAATTCAAAACTAAACTATAAGCCGAAAAGAGAGACAAGAATACACATTCTTCTCGCAGCGAAGAATAAAGTGTACAAAAATTGTGAAAACATTTATTATTTTCTAAAATATTATAATCTAATTTAAATTAATATTTTTTATTAATTAAAGTTCAACTTTTTTTCTTAACTCACAAAATATTAAATATATAGTATAGGATTTTTTTGTGTTTTTTAAATTAGTAAATAATAAAATATTGTTTGTTTAATGAGTAGAAAAGTTATGGAAAAAAATAGTTATTATTAAAACATGAAAAAAGTATGTATATTATTTCCCTGTTTTATTTCTTTGCTGATATTTGAGGTTATGTTCAACCATGGTAAGTAAAATCGGTTTTAATAAAAATATTTTCAAAACCCCAAAAGTGAGATATACAAAAATATTATAGACTATACAAATATATAACATTCAGAAAGAGTTCTTTAATAGATTCTGTATTTCAAAAATCTAATTGGAGACAATTGAGGCATACAATGCCAATTTTCATGTAAACGGCAACAAAAAATTGTCAATTAAAAAAACTGCGATAAATATTGCAAGGAAGATCGAAATTATTCTACTATTTACATGAAATCGGTAGATTTCATGTAAATAGTGCGCCAGAGTTACTAAATAGAGCTAATAAGACAAAACTCAGTACTAATTGGAACGTTTATAGATAACAGTTCAATAGGTACAAGAATGAAATCAAGAAGGCTAAACGTGAGTCTTGGGTCTGCTATAGTGAATCAATCGAAGGAGTTAACGAAGCGGCCAGATTTCGCAGAGTACTATCTAAAGGTCCAACGTCTGGGAGCAAGACGCTCGATCTTCTATCATCAACCCACTTCCCTAGCATTAACCCACCATAATGAGGATTGGCATTGTGCGCATCGGCATATGGTTCGAACGAGGGAGGAGGAGATGCTGATAGAAAATACTATAAGCTACCCAAAACTAGTAAATAGTTTTCAACCAAACAAATCTCCAGGTATAATACCGGCCATGCTGCAACACGCAGATGAACGTGTATTAGCCTCTCTGGAAGACATTTTTAGGGTTTGTCTACTCCTATTGTACATACCTAGTCTATGGAAAGAGGTAACTATGACCTTCATCCCGAAAGCCGGGAAGCCGAGTCATACGCTACCAAAGGACTATAGACTGATTAGCCTCTCTTCCTTTCTACTCAAGACTTTAGAAAGGTTACTAGACTCAGAATTAGGAATACTATTGACCAAAATAAAATTAGCAACTCCCAGCATGCCTACATCAAAGGCAAATCACTGGATACAGTCTTACATGAGGTGGTTGGACGCATCGAGAAGAATATGGAGTCCTCCGGTTACACCTTGGCAGCGTTCCTCGATATTGAGATAGTTTTCAACAATGTGAAGCTAGAGGGCATCCATTCTGCTCTCGTAAGCACAGGTATTCGCTCACTTCTAACGGGCTGGATTGATAGAATGCTGGAAAGCAGAATTATCAGCTCATCCTTAGGAGAGAGTTCCGCGAGGAAATCTCTCAACAGAGGCACACCACAGGGAGGAGTATTATCTCCTCTTCTATGGCTTCTGGTAATACATGAGATAATGCTGGAGTACGACTATATTAAAATAGACGATGATGTAGTCTTGCTGGTTGGTGGGAAATTTCTAACGACCATTTCAGATATTATGGAGAGCGCCCTTTCAACTCCGTCCAACTGGGCACACGCCAAGAGTCTTGGTATAAACCCAAGACAGAATTGGTGCTCTTCTCTAAGAAACGTAAGATCATAAACTTCCGCTTGCCATTTTTAGGAGGCGTGACCCTATCTCTTTCAGAAGAAGCTAAATACCTTGGTACAATCCTTGACCGTAAATTAACGACGAATAGGAATGTTGAGGAACGCTCTAAGAAAGGACTAATATCACTCTACTCCTGTAAGAAGTAAAGAGCTGGGGACTAAGACCGAAGATCATACATTGGTTGTATGTGACGGTCGTACTCCACATTCTTACTTATGGTTGCCTTGTATGGTGGCAGGGGGTCAAAAAAAACTGCTGACAAAATTAAATTCAATACAGCCATCGGCTTCGATCCTGATTACCAGAGTGATAAGAAGCACACGGCAACCAACCACTGGACACTCTGATTAAATTCCAGGCTCTCAGATGTGCCCTGAGGCATATCTCTGTAAATGTCCATCACTGAGTGGCAGAAGACATAAACAGTTTGAAAAGTATGAAATTAATAATATAGGTTTCTTCTTCAAAATAAACCCCAATCAGATTCTAGGCTTTGTCAAAAATCTGGCACGGCTAAAATAATCATCTTCTAGGCTCTCCAACTCCAACTATTTCTTCCTCTCTTCCATTTTCTTTCCTTTCCCCCTTTCCTTTCAGGTATCAAGGATAATCACAATGGAAAATAATTATCCGAAGAATAGTATGCTAAGTCTGAAAAGTGAGTTTTTTAGGAGAAGCTCTGAAAGTTTACGGACATTATCTCGGGAGTGATGTAAGATAGAACATTGAGTGTTTTACTGATTTTAACGAAATTTAAATATAAGTTTGGTAGCACTTCTAAATATAAACTTTTTCTAGCAGATTATAGCTAAAACCGACATAGAATACTTTAGCATTCTGCTCTCGTAAGCACAAAATCGACCACAATCAGATCCTAGACTTTGTCAAAAATTTCGTATGGCAAAAATAACCACCTTCTAGGCTCTCCAACTCCAAATATTTTTCCTCCCTTCCATTCTCTTTTCCTTTGCCTATTCTTTTCAGGTATCAGGGATGACCACAACGGACAATTGTCTCTGAGTGAACGATTGTAATTAGTAACTGTACATCCCCAACCAAACCTACCATCAAATGGGACGATGACGTTACAGCCCACTGCAGATGCTGTGAGGACGAGGGGCGACGCAGACAATCGAACATCGCTTATATCGCTGTACAGTTTTTGGCCTACAGACGGCATAGATTGGTGGGCGCTCTTTTTCCACCCTGTCTAACCTTCTACTCTACTATGGAACCTACCTTAATCTACAACATCATCACAAATCTAAAGTGACTGGAACAGCGCAACCTGAACACCTAGACCGTTATTACTAAGGTATTCCAATATGCACATGTACTTCATTGTATTCCGCTCCCTCTAGGTTTTTGGTAAGATTTTTTTCAAAAATTAAAAAGAAACACACACACTTCGTTATATTTTTTTAAGTTTATTAACACATATGGAAACAATTAAGATTTCACTCTAAAAAACTATAGGATTTCGCATTTTTTTAGAAATTAAGCTTATCTAAATCAAGGAATAAATAGCACAAAAAATATTCATACATATAAAGCATATTAATATATAAACATGTATATATTTTCAATATTTGGGAAAAAAAACGGAAAACGCAAAAATTTGCAAAATGTCAAACAAAAGTCTGGGAATTTTCGATAATACTTATTTTTATTCTAGTAGAAGTTGTTCATTTATTGCTTGAAGGGAACTTGAAAACGCCCTTGCGTTGGCTGCGATTTTCACCCTGTAAATATATAAAAAATTGTTTATATGTGATCATAGACTACTCTTGTTTATGAAAAAAAAACTTCTTACTCACCGCTAAACGATTTCCAAATAAAATGACAGCTTTATCTTCTTCGGGTGGTGATGAAAATTCACTTTGATTTGTCGTCGGCGTTCTTCGGCTTATTTGCAGTTTTTGCTTAATCGCCTGCGAGACAATAACTTTACGGCTAACCGATTTCATGGCCATTAACAAATCCAACCATGTCCATGTCACATTATGATATTCCAGCGTGGGTATAACCAACGAGAAATCGGTAATATCTTCCAGATTTTTCTCCTTATTGCCTTTGTAACTAACGCGCACCGGTACCTCAGGAATTTTAATATAGATAAATAGTTTGTTTTTCTCCGCCCGTTCTTTCATCTTTTCCACATCATCCTTTTCGATTTTGACATAAAACTCGGAATCTTTCGATGACTTCTTTGATTTGCCTTGCTTTTTGGAAGATTTCGCCTGGACATTTGATGACGACGAGGAACCGGATGAATGTTCTTCCAAATCATCTACGGCATCCGTTTCCGAAGCATCTCTGTCGGGGAAGCAAAATTTCAACATGGTAGAATAGAATTTCTTTGTAATTGCTATGGTTATGGGGGCAACGTTAATTTCAAAATGCTCCTTAACAGATATGCCACCAACAGGTGGCTTTTCACGACAAAATACCCGCAATACACGTTTGTGGGTGTCAACCGGCATATCCTTTTGTATTTCGGTGGGCACTAAAACTTCTCGATAAATCTCTCGTGGTATCAAATTGTTCATGCGTATATTGCCCAATTCCAAGAGATGTTCTACAGAATCATCGCTTTTCGATTTCTTCGTATATAAGAAACCACTTAGCACCAGGTCAGCAATACCAATTTGACCATCCGTTTCGGTTAGACGCCACTGGGCCCGTTTAAAGCATATTTCATTGGCTCTGACAATATTCACAGTCTTGTCGGATCGTACATTGGAGATTTTACTCAGTTGGGAAAGTTGGGTTTCTTTGTAGCACAACAGCATGCTATCCAATTCTTCACTTAGGGTATTCAATTCCTCTTTGCTGTCACGGATAAGTCTTTGCACGCGTTCATATTCCAATTTCCATTCACTGGTATCACTTTCATCAGCCCTCTGGCTGATAAAATGAATGTCTTTCTCCAATGAACGTATCTTCATCAAAAGGCTTCGTATCAGGGTTTGCTTCTGCTGTATTGGTCGCTTTTGATCTTCTGTGGAATGCAACTGCAATTGGAAACGCATTCGGGCCAACTTTTCGAGGGCTTGTTTACGTTGCGGTTCCACATACAGTAAGAGATTGTTGACAATATCCAAAATCATGGCATATTGCAGTGAATTGGTGCATACATCCAAATCATGATGCATCAGGGTGAAGGCATCCATCGGATCATCTTGTCTCTCCCAGGGCGATAATGTCTCCTCGGATGGTGGTGGAGGCATATCGGTTATGGTATTTGGATCTACCGTATCACCATAACTTACGTAGAAAAATTCACATTTACATCTGGAGACAATACGCTGCAATTGTATGGGCTGATTTCCGCCGGAATTTTCATTTGATGCAGCGCCGACTGTTTCGCTAACCACACCACCAACACTACGACCACTACCAACCAAATGTGGAATGTCGGGCAAATCGTTTATAACAGCATCATCCTTATCTTGAATGTTATCCACAGTTAGCCACATAATATTCGTTTCCAAGAGTGAATCATGTTCCCCGGCACTGACCGTGGCATAGTACTGCATGCATTCCAGCAAACCTTTCCATGTGGTCTTGGATACCAAGGAACGATCACGCCAAACGGGACGGTGAACACGTTGTAGTATTTCCGCTTTGGCAGCACTTATAATCACATAACCGGAAGTTTCCGAACCTTTCAGTAAAACTTGTGAATTCACCAAGGATATGGACCAGTTCTCGTGAATAACATCGTGTGCTGAACATGCTTGCAAACCTTGTAGTTGTAGTTCACGAGATTGTGTTGTCTGATCGTCGCTGTAGACATTAAATTTATGATCAGCTTCGGCAATAAGTTGTTGCAACATTGCTGTAGCATGACTGGCTGGTTGTGGTTTGTTAATGGTGGTGTTTGTTGTTGTAACTGAAAAAAAATCGGAGTTTATATAAAAATGAGTATCAGCGGGCGGAAAGGAGGGTCACTGTAAGATTTGAAAATCTAGCATATTTGTACCATTCTTTCTGGTACCTAAGAAGCACAATTGTATGTATAAACATTGACACATTTTCGTAGACAAAATCGCAACCGCCTGCAGCTTCAGAATTTTTAATTTCATGTTATGAATAAAAGCGGAATACAAGTATACTAAGGATATACACGATTAGTTACCTTCCTGAGTAATGGATTCCTACATGGATAAAAAAGCAAACACAGACAGTTTCAACAAATCGGTACATTTTAACATATGAACACTGGGTGCAGGACGTTATAGATCGAAATGAAATTAAAATTAAAAGTCGTTGGAAGATGAGAACACTCTACTTTAAATCTAATATTGAGAAAATATAGAAAAATATATACTTTCCACAGTTCCTTCGCTTCTAAAGGAAACGCCCTTTTCACTCTCCTTTACTTCTCAAATATTCAGTATGAATACAAAACCTCCGAATGAAATAGTCGCTGATTTATCACATTCATTCTTCAACCTAACCTATGCCTGTCCATCTAGCAATAATTCATTCTTCTATAAAATGTATGTAGTATATCTTACTCCAAAATACTTACTTGGTAGCACTTCTGCTGTTGTACTGGGCAATGTACTATCGCTACGTTTATTATGCATTAGTGTCGAATTTCCTTCTTTTCGATAGCTTTTAACCGCTTCCGTTGATAGATTATTTTTCAATTTCTGTGATTTCATAAATGAATCAAATAATGCAAAGGCAATATCACGATTATTTTTTGTCCATGCCCCTTTTAGGTCATACACCACCAGTTTATGTGTTGGTGTGGTCGATTTTGTTTTTGTTGACTCTTCGTCATTGTTCGATTGTATTAGAGCTTCACGACCATACGAAACACGTCCCACACTCAGGAAATAAAAATGCACTATTTTACAATTATCTGCATTGGTTATATTCTCGGAGGAGCTATCGAATTTCTCTTGCTCAATACTCTTCAACCATATCTCGGCATCATTCAATTCGCAATTCATATAAACGGTAGACCAATCGGCACGTGGACGATGTATCAAACCATCATCGATGGGTGAGAGCGACAAAAGATATTCCGAACTAAAGGAAACACGACCACCATTCAATTGAAAACCTTTATGACGGGCATGAGACATCCAATAGAGCACTTGAAAACGATGCAAGCTCATTTGTAAATTGGCCTTCTTGTAATGGCGACTAAGTTGTTTTTTACGTGGCCTTACATTATCAAAGACCGGTCCCCGGCGTGTGGGTCGTGTTACACCCGAAAGTATAAGTTTCAAACTTTCAAACCATCTCAGTGTACTGCCATACAATACCAAGCTAGGTATATCATATTTCACATCTACGCCAGGTTTTGATTTCGTTTCAAACGATATCCATATATTCAAACTTATAGAACGGAACGCTCGAAATGAGTCGTGTACTTGATTACTGGAGTATTCAGGCAATTTATCTGGAGCACAAGGCATTACAGCATGATGATCATTGGGATTCGCCAAACAAATCCAATTCAATTTGAAAGTCAACTTTAAGTGCGGGAAATGTAACAGACGGCAATCATCATACCGCGAAGCAGTTCTCACAGTTACATTTAATTCGCCACGAAACATTATCTTGGCATTTGTCCATAAAATACCAGCATTGTTCCATGTTAACTCCATTTCCTCTGTAGTATTGTAGGGATCCAAAGAGGCATGCAATAAGACAGTAAATTGTTTAACAATCATTGTTAAACGTCCGTGGAAGAGTAGGCGCATTTTATCCCAAAATGGTAAAGGCGGACTTGGATCTTTGGAAGGTGCAGATATTTTTTCAAAGCTAAGGTTACACTGAGCCATTACAGGCTCCCAGCATGGACCAAATGCATAACTACAAAATTCCAAATCACAATTAAAGTCATGATAGAACTTTAAGGCAGTCATGCTACGTTGCACAACATCCGTGCCGAAGGGTTCACCAACGTCGATATACACATCACGCTTGGCGCGTTTCGAAGCGGCTTGTTCGGCGCCACACAGTGTGCCAAACAGACTCATTGTTTTCACATAAAACATAGGCTGTGGGAAATCTCTTAGCATAAACTTCCATTCGGAACAACTGACATGTACATTGCGACACCAAAGTGTTGTAAATTCCAGACCTTCTTCAGGCCAAGGACTCTCCGAATCGATTTCTCGCATAATTCGCGTTACATTGTCGGTGCCATGTATTGATGGATCGGCCATTGCCATAATCTCGACATCGTTCATAATCCACGCCAACAGGCGTGTTCGTACCGGTCCACTTTCTCGTATTTTCTTCGAACGTTGAATATAAATTTCCGAATTTTTCTTTACCAATGTGGCATGGAGACTTTCTATTGTTCCAGCCGGCACTAGAAGTGTTTTCGAACAAATCTCAGCAATTTTCTTATCAAATAATGTTTTACGTTTAAGGCCTTCAAGGTATTCATCTACTAATAGAACATAATTATCGCGAAGTTTAACTTCAAATGGATCATCACTAATTTCCAAAAGGAATTCTTTAATCTAAAAAAATATTTAAAAAAAAGATTATTATTTAATTAAAAATAAGACAAGAAGATATTATGTGGCCAATTTCTTCGCATAAAATGTTTCATTTGCAACAAAATATGCACTAGAAGTTAAAAATATATTATAAAAAAATAATTTCAAAACTAAAATTTAAAATTTTAAAATAATTCCAGTTTTTGTGAAAAAATCGATATTCAATTAATTTTAAATTTATACGAGTATTCACCTGTATAACCATGTCGCTTGGAAGAGGCGAGCTAGCCGTAAATGGTTTCTTAACATAATTATGAACAAGTTTCAACCATTTAAAGTGGGAAATGAATTGATTATTTACGGCATCATAAAAGTCATGGTCATAGGGGAATATTGCCTGTAAGAAGAAGAAAACAAATTATGAATTTTTTAAAATGAACTAGTTAAATAAATAAATTGAATAGGACATTTTAATAATGATCATTGGCACTCACTTTAAAACTTCCAATTGTTGTGACCCAAACTTTGTTTGTTGGCAAAACAAAACCTTCACAGTTTACACGTTCTTGTGTCAACATATCCAATTTTGCCAATGAATGTATATCGACATCTTTCAACGTGAATATGTGTTCATCGTCAATTTTTATAAAGATATTTTCGGCTGATATAAAATTGCCTTCTTTGCGACTAAAGAAGAGGTTCTCCACAAACCATTGCATAGAATGACGTTCGGATAATTTAATTTCGAAAATTGTACTTCGCTCTGCTGATAATTCAATTATTAATTTCTTTGAATTATTTTCCATTGGTGATGGTTCAGATGATGGTGTGGTTGTTGTTGTTGATTTGGCTTTGGAAGGTAGGGCTAGCGAAGCTTTTAAATCCTGCATATCTCTAGCCAAGGTGAGTATATGCATGTGTAAATTTGAATTCCAAATAGCTTCAGTACTTCCCGGTATATATACCGACAACTTGGGTCTCTTCAGTTCCGGAGTCTCGTATTCCAAACGTATTAACTTACAATTGGCAAATATATCTGTAAAATCTGTTAGACACAATGAAGATGCTGTCATGGAACGCATTATTGCCATTTGAAATTCTTCCAGTTTTAGGTGGGTTATTTGATGTGTTCGGGCTAAGGCAATTTCCGAAAAGCTTAACAATAAACAAGCTTTGTGATGGTTTATAAAATATGCAGTAATATCTTTGATTTTTGCCGAAATCAATAGATTGTTGGCCGTTGGCTTTTGTGGAGGCGGCATTACATTTGATTTTGTACTAGCACCTGTTTCGTTTTTAAGGCCACCATATTGTTTAATACAACAAACGGTTTTTATTACAAACGTTGCCAGTGTCATACTGTACTCTGTTCTAAGCGTGTGAATGGACACTTCCAACTTGGTAGCATTCGAATATGAACTCAATTTCACTAAACTAACACCGATGAAGAATGGCGAACCCGGAGAGTGTGATTTCTTTAGATTATTGGTATCATTGATTGAATTTCCCAAGGACCACCATAACGATTCTATCATCAGTTCTACACTCCAGTGACGTTGATTAAATAACATATTGAATATCTTGGTTTTATAGAGGGAACTTCGTTTTTCATCTGTCTGTTCCAACACCAAACGTGTATGACTGACGCTCATGCCAGCATGTTCGTCATCGTCCAGTTTCATTAGCATTGAAACATTCCACAGTTCGGCACATCCTTTGACCACAATATGTTTCATAATCCATTCGACTAAACCATTTTTGGGGACACTATCGCCTAACAGTTTACTCGAAGTTTTCATCGTACTTTGTACGGAACCCAAATTATCGGGCAAAGATTTCTGTTGCAATAACATTGAAAGATGCTGCTGCTGTTGTTGACGTTTTCTGGATAGGAAATTATTATGCACCCAGTCATAGATCTCACTATGATTGTATATTATTTGAAAAGTTTTTAGTTTCACATATAAATTCAGTATATCATTTTTTAGCTAGAATTTATAAAACGAGAGTTTATTGGCTGATCAAATTTTAAATCAATATAATTTACTTACCATGGAATCTATAGTAAATTGTTCAATGAAAAGCAATTTTTCATATTTCGTATCGATATCTAAATGTTGCAGTGTTACTTTGGTAAATACTGTGGGTAAATGAACGTTTTCATTGAATGATTTTGAATTGAATTCTCCGGTTATCTGGGGAAAATATGTTAAAACATTATTGTATTAATGTTGTGGTTATATTGTTTATTCATAGTATTTTTGGCTGTGTTGGTTTTGATTCATCAAGACCGTAAATATATTGCTTGATTGTTTATTGCCATTTGTTTCTTTGCCTAAATATATACTTACGCTAAACAATTGCATTTTTGCACTGAAATCATTCTGGGAATTCTCCTTCACAGCCGAGAATGTTGCAGCTTTTATGATGAAACTAAAATTCTTTGGTATTATTGGTGCTATCTTGTGATAGGATTCGTTGTTATAGCTTGACTCCTTTGGACAATGTTGAGAAATGGTTGATTCGGTTTTAGGATCGGGTTTTGTTGTTGTCATAGTATAACCACTACTGGAACTGTCTTTGGTAAAATCGTGTGAAGGTAATGTTCGTTTTTTGGCTTCACTCAAGAATTCATATAGACCACCGTGAATAGTTGATTTTGCATTATTCATAGCTAAAGATAATTTCTGCAAAGAGAAGATAAATTAATTAAAAAGTAAAGTAATTAAAAAGTAAAGTAATTGAGCACTGGAAAAGGCATACTCACATCAACGGACAGTTGACCATGTGATAGTATTGTGGCATCCAAAGATATATCAAAACTTAGCTCACCCAAACATGGTCGTATTTTATTTACATTTTCCAATGATTGTCTACGTGCTGAACAATGTCGCAGCATTTTTGCCTGAGAATAAAAATAAGCTATGCAATGTTGTAACCTCTAATTACATATTTAATGTTCTTACCTGGGCCTCAGTAAGGACGGCATTTATCAAGAGTATTTTAGCATTTTGTACAATGCTACCATCCAAATGAAGTTCTTTGGCTGTGGCATGTATAAACCAGCCGGGATCAAAATCATTATTCATTAATACCACAGATATGTTATTGATATGAACTGCCATAAATTGAGCACAAGTCAAAATACTTGGTGGCACTTTAGCATGTCTGAAATCTGGTACTCCCTTTCCCGCTCCAATGTCTCGTCGAAAGTTAGTTTTACGTGACGTTTCCTGTGACAGGCCCTCATTTTTTGTTGTTTGTATATCTTTGTTGATTCGAATATCGCGAATATATATCGATACTAATTTTGTTACTTCAGTACTGAAGAAACTACTGCGTAAACAAATCTCCTCAATTTGCTACAAAAAAATGGAAAATATTCAAGATATGGATATCGATGTCATGTAATTAGGAAATACGACATCGACAACAATACTTATACTAATTTTAAAACAAATCTTATGGAGTTTTCATATTAACAAAACTCAGCATATAATTAATCGAATCCCTTTCACTAATTAATTAACCAACCCATAATTAGTTCCTATTGCAAATTGTATATCGAAACACGTCATCGTACAATTAAGCCCTTAAACAACATTTCAGAAAAATAAAAAACAAAAAAACTTACAACAGAAAATCCACTTTTGCTGACGTGAACATTTTTCAATGCCAAATAGGGTAGATTTATACGCCCAATGCGAACTTTCACTCGAAACTTTTTCACCAATATCCAACTTATGAAAGCAGGCAATATCCTTAAAAAAGATAAACAAATGGATAATGTGAAAAACCAATGTATCAACGCCATGGGTGACTAAGGAACCCATGGATGAAATTTTTATGAAGAACCACTTACCAATATACAATAACGAACAGGATAGCAGATAATATAAACAATTTGAACATCATTTTGATAAGAATTGGAAATGATCCCGGAAAATAAACAATTCCAGCAGCATTTTCCTCACCAAGAACGAAGTAAACAAATCAGCAGTTCAGAACATTGATGTCCATTCACAATGGCCAAATCAAATGACGGACAATAGTAAAATTATATTAGGACAGTATCAGCTGTTTAAAGGGTACTATAAATCGAAGTCAGAAAAGGGCAGATGTTTTACATACAGTTAACCTAGTAAATGTTTCCAAACGACGATTATTTTATTAAATAGAAAATAAATTGTCAATGCATGAAATTGAAAACATAAATAAACATACAGTTGTATTATTGCCACAAAATGTCACAATTTAAAATACATCTCTTATATTTTCCGATACGTTTTGGGATCAATTTTTTTTGACCACCTTTCATGTCAAAACGATTTTGACATACCTTATAAATATGTCTGTATATGCAACAAACACATACATACATTTGTCAGTTACAATACCGAACATGGTATAATTAGGTTCGTTCGTTTACTCAATAATTTGTACGAATTTGTACAAATTATTACAAAATGTTGTTCGTTTACCCAAAAGTCCAGTAAAAGAGAGTGAATTGAGAGAGCAGATTTGACAGTTGTGTTACTGAGTATTTGCAAATTCTTACAAGGAAAATTTACTCAGTAAGAATTTTCTTGTACCATCAGCTGATATTTAATCAGCTGTTTTGTTATGTTTTGTAAACAAACAAAAAATTGTTCTCAAGAAAATTGATTGTTTTGTGAATTTTATTTTGATTTTGTATCATTAAATACCAAAATGGATGAAGAAAACGCAAGTATTTAAAAATAAGAGTAATAAGAGTAATTGGCGAACGATTTTTTAGGTTCCAAATCGAAACAAAAAAGTGTGCATCCCTAACATGTCTGGAACACCACCCCCATATCAATTGCAGATACAGGAATAACAGGTCACAACCCTTTTAAATGTTTATGGGGAACAAACAACATCAATTTTCCGCTTGTTATCCATTTTTCTAATAAAAATGCTGTCTTATAGTTTGCGCCAGGATTGGTCTTGGCCGATTTGGTGTTTGTTTGTTGTTTTAATCAGCTGTGTCGAAACAATCTTTTTACTGGATGTTGTTCGTTTACTTTTTGCAGTTTTCTCTCTTGAAAAGGAAAAATTCGTATTTACTCTCTGCAAATTCTTACTGAGTAAATATTACTGGGAAAGTAAACGAACGAACCTATTATAGAAGGTAACAGCAAAACCCAGCTGATTTGGCTCCAACGTAATACTAGTGTCAATATGAATTTGACAAATTATGTTTTTAACCCTTTCAGTGTTTTTGTCGAATATATTCGACATTTAAAATTACTCTGTTTCTTTGGGATTTTTCGGTTATCCTATGTACCGTTACAATTGAAGTTTTGGTTTTTGCTGAAAGATAGACAAAACTGTCCGAGGGTTAAAATAAAAATTGCTTTTTGTTCTAAACTCTGTGCCTTTATATGATTTTAAATACAAAAGTTTAGATTTTTAATCCGACAATATTTTTTTTGACACTGAAAGGGTTAAAAAATCACCCAACAGGAAAATTGGGAACGCATACAATTCGAAATTATTCTCTATTAAATGTCCTCTAGTATTCAATTTAGTCAATCTGCCAGCTGTGAAAGTTTGGGGAAGCAAATCTGTCTTCATCAAATAACTCGCTATTCCCAGCATTTTCATATGTGTTACACATATAAGTGGCAATGGCTCAATTATAGGAAAAATGTGGAAGCGATAGAAATATAAATTTGATATATTTTCATTCATGTTTTTCAATTTTATTTTGAGAATTCGAAAATTTTACATTTTCAAAATAAATATAATTTGTGTGTTTGTTTACTTTTGTCGGTCAAATGACATTGACACTAATATAACTTACAACAAAAATTGCCATGTGGTTGTTGTATCGTTTGTTGTACAACAACACTTGCTGTTACCTTCTATTATTATACCATGATACCGAAATAACATTTGTTTACAAATTGAAAACAATTGGTCTGTTCCCGGACTACAATAATCTACTAATTTTTACTATTTTCTTCGATATCATAAAGGAAAAATTGTTGTCATAGTAAAAAATTGTACATTCTTGGAGGTTCAGGAACAGACCAAATGTTTTTACAACAGAATTATTAAAAAAAATGTTTTCCGAAGACGTGTGAAAGCTGGAGAAGGCAATTTAACTAGGGAAGGAACGCCACCCAAAGGTAAATCATTCAATAAGTATAAATCAGTTAATAATAACTTTAAATATTTTCAAAAGGATAGAATTTAAAAGCAATGCCGTCTTAATCGGGAAAATGTGTGTGTTCCGCTTAAAAAATACGTATGGTAGTGAAATAAAATCGATCAAAGGTCATTACCTCTCCATCAGTCTTCAAGATATGTTCGCAAGCAGTCATTTTGGGTACGTTGGGCTGCCTTAAAAAAACGGTAGGTTAAAAATGCGGTACAACTTGACCAACAGAACAAGGTGAACATTCTTTGCTTACGTGCGTGTAACAATATTTAGACCGAAGTGCTGAATGCCTTCCTCCTCTCTTATACAGCACGCTTATGTTGGTTTCCCCCACTTTTCTCTCTTCGATGAAATTTTTGCTGTGCTTCATTGAATATTAGTTTTTCTTTTTCGAACGAAGGAAATGAAAACAAAATGAATATTTTGTAATTTAATGACATTCAATAACGACAGTCATGTTGTGTTTGGCGTGCTCATAATTTTACTTTTGACAACATTCAGCTTTCAAAATTTAAATGAAAATATGTACGCACAAAACGGGTTCAATGGCAATAATTACAAAATATTTTTGATATTTTGAAGTTCCCATCCTCTACAATCTATAAATATTAATTTGTGGCATCTCCGTCATCGCCGTTAACAAACAAGACGAGAGATGGCAACTCTGACAAGAGGCAACAAAGAAGAAAGCAAAAGATTGTTGCTCGCGAAATCTTCAACACCACAGTTGTGGCAAATCGACCTTATTTAAATTACAATTCCTTTTTATTGTTTTTCTGAACTTATATTAAATAAAATTTTTATTGAAGTGTTGTTAAGATAACCTCTGTGTTTTAATTCATCAACAACCACAATAACTATAAATTTTACCAACTGTAGTTATAGCTTAAGAACAATTTGAATCAAAAAAATGTAGATATCAGTTTTTTCTCAACACTCGTTGTGAACAGACTACGTTTTTTACTCAGCGCTTGTTTAAATATTTCTCTTTACAACAACTTCCCTGTTATAAGTGTTTTTAAGTGATATTCAAGAACTTTGCTTGACATGGCATCCTCCTCTGGGGGCAATTATTATAAGGACTTAGATCCCGATGGCGGTGCTAAATCTCCCAAAAGGAAAAAACAGAAGACGGGTGCTTTGGCTTTGGGAAATTCCTTAGATTTCCCGCTCTTGCCTCAATATAAAAATAAAAACCAATCATGCCCCAAATACATTGTAATGAAAACTAAAAACACTGAAAAAACTCTAAAATCGTTCAACATATTTCTGTTATCGAAAGCAATCCAAGGAATTTCTGCGGAACCCACTCTAAAAACCATCTTCACACGTGACGGCAATCTTATTTTTTTGACAAGAAATGAAGCTCAAGCAAACCGTTTTTTAAAAACCAAATATCTAGCTGGAATTGGTCCAATTGAATGCAGTTATCACCGCACATTAAATATCGTTAAAGGTTTTGTACACTGCGATCTGCTGACTGATCTATCCTCAGAAGACATAGTGGATGGCATGAAATCACAAGGCGTTGTCGACTGTCAAAAAATTACCAAATTTAGAGATGGTACTATATTTAACACTCCATCCCACATAATTAGTTTCAACTTATACGAACTACCCAAAACAGTTGAAATTGGTATCATAAATTGCAAGGTTAAAGTATATACTCCTAACCCGATTCAGTGTAAAAGCTGCGTTAAACTCGGTCACACAAAAAAATTCTGCAAAAATGCTCCCGCTTGTGATGTATGCTCATCTGCTTCGCATGATCCAATTTTATGTACAAAAGTGTTATGTATAAACTGCAATCACCAACATAGTGCAACCAACAAACAATGTCCAGCATTTCAACAAAGAAAAATGGTGCTCAAATACAAAATTGCAAATAAATGCTCTTTCAAAGAAGCTTTGATAAATACGCCTAAAATAGATACAACAGAAATACCAATTGAGAGTCTCTCCGATGCTATTGAAAGAAGAAAAAAGAGAATAACACATAACAGTAAACTAACCAACACTCAAAATCTCTCTAACGTTGATTCCCCAATCAACAACACCCACACAACACCAACAAAATTAATAAAATCCCCAAAACATACAACCCTGCAAGCTAGCGCAGAACAACCTAGCACAAGTAAAAATATTACAACCAATACAAAAACAAATACCATCACAACGAAAACAACTATAAACTCAGAACAATTACTCAATAAATTTAACTCCAAACTTGAGTCAATTAAAAATACCACCAAAACACACGGAAATACCTTTTCAACAAATGTATCTATCTCCGATGAAGAAGATACGAAGAAGAATAAACCAGCAAAAATAACTGCAAGAAGATCTGCGGTAGACAATCTTGAAGATTCATTAATGTCTGAATAAAGTTTTCTACACTCATCACTCTTATTCTTTTATATCTCCCCAATGAATCAGTTTAATATAATTCAATGGAATATAAAAGGTTTAATTAATAATTACATCGATCTTCAACTGTTATTAAAAGATCACAATCCCCATTTCATATCTTTACAAGAAACACATTTATCATACAATTCACAACCGATCTCCCCTCGTAATTTCACTCCATACGCAGCAAATAAACCGGAAAATATCTCGGCAAAAGGCGGAGTTGCTATATTTATTAATAAAAATATTCCTCATAAGCGAATTTTAAATAACTCCAAAATATTAAATATTGCAATTGAAATTTCCTTAAAAATAAAAT